GGTAGTCCTTTCTTGCAGTTTATGTACTTGCAATTAATAATGGTGTATTCAAATGACTTCTGACCCTCATCTTTGACTAGTATCTGAGTTCCAGAGACCTTGTGGTTCAAGTTCTATAAACTTTTGCAGTGGTAAGGCAGTTAGGAAACGTTTCCCTCGTGTCAAAACTGGGAAGGGAATACAAGGTAGTTCTAATTGATCCTTATACAGAAGTTCACATAATTCTGTTGATTTCAGAAGCATGTGGTGCCTCTGAATATTTCATTGCTCTGTAAAGGACACATGAACTTCATTTTTGTTTGATGTATTCATTGGTAGTAGTGGTTAGGTGCCATGGAGTTGGCTCTGACTCATGGCAACCCTGATTCCAAGGCAGTAAATCTTTATGGGAGCAGAAAGCCTCATTTTTCTCCTGTGGAGTGGCTGGTAGACTTGAACTACTGACCTTGTAGTTAGCAGCCCAATTCATAGCACACTACACTAGCAGAGCTCCTTAGCACTGTTAAGATATAAAGCAGTCTGTTTTATATCTCCTGAAGTTTTTTGGGTTTCTCTATTTTTCACTCACTTCCTTTCTTGTTCTCATTGCCTTTATGGTTTATACCACTTTTATTACTTTATTGTTAATGAAAAGTAGGCTCTCAAGAAGGAGAGGAGTGTGTTCAATCTATCCTATTTAACCACATACCTGCGTTCTTTCTCTATGACCGTATTAGAATAATAACATTATACTTTATATATTGAAACTGACTAGTTTTCATCTATTTGCTGTTGTTTTTGCCATTAAAAAAAGAGTGTTAACTAATATTCTGTAAATTTAACATATGTGAGAAAGCAAATGTGTCTAATACATTTGTTTTACACTTATTTTATATATACCTAAATGAAAAAACAAATCAAATGTATTTTTATAGCCAGTATTAAAAATTCAATAAGTAGCCTCCAAATGATGAGAATGTAAAGAATATGAAAGAATGAAATATATTAAAAAGAGATGAGTGCTCCCACACTTCATGGGTGTTGAAATCTGTTATGAACTATCTTTCTTTGTAATGTTTTTGACATTCCTCATACATAACAGATCAACACTAGCATACATTATTTCACTGATTTTCCATTTCTTCACTAACTTAAACATTATGGGGACTGGCTGTCTTACATGCCAACAGTGGAATAAAGTAAGTAGCTTGAAATTGATTTAAATTACATCTGATATTTCAAAGATACAAATCATGTTTTTACAATATTACCACAGCACCCAAAAGGTTTTATATAATCTCTTGAATACAGGTGTGTGTTCATCAACTTGACTTTTCTCATCTAGAATTACATTTCATGATTAGTATTGTTTTTCTTCCAGCTCAGGGGGAAAAAAAGAACCTTTGGTTTTGCTCTTTCTACACCACACTCCTAGCTCTCCTGCAAAAATAAAATAAGTAAATAAATAAATAAATAAAAGAAAATAGATCATCATGGATTCAGGCAATGCCCCATATATTCCAAGATAACATTTAAATATTTTAAGAAAAATATTTGCTTTCAATATGAAAGAACTTCTATGTATCCTTTCTAGAAAAATATTTTTATTTCAGTTCACTAGTAAAATATGACATAGTTCAGAAATCCAGGTCATTTAATGAAAGTATCTACATGATCCTATTTTCCTTCTGAACCACTTTACAACTATAACATTTTTTAATAGCTATAATATCTTCCGAAAATTATTTAACTTGCCTGCACTTTAGTCCTTTAAAAAAAAAATAAGCTAGATAGATTATGCATATAATTTCTATTGCTATTTTTAGTACAACGTATAGCTAAATGAGTCCTGGTGTAGTGTCATAGGATAAGCACTCGACCTCGAGTTTGGTTTGCACCACAACGTCAGTGATTCAAACCCACCAGCTGCTCCTCCAAAACCCTATACAGGGTCCTTATGAGGTGGAACCAACTTGACAGCATTTAACAATTATAGCTAAATTAACATCTAGTGCTTATTAAGAGTATGGACTCTATGGACTGACAGACTGAATTCACATCTTGGCAGTTTTTTGCCTTGTGAAATCAAGGACCTTGGTTTTCTCATTTTTAAAACAGGCTTCATAATGTTTGTAGGTTGGATTGTTAAAGGAATTTAAAAAAAGATGGTTCACATGAAAAGTTTAACATAGCTTTAGATGCCTCTTGTTAGCTCAGTATATGTTCATCTATTCATTGTTGTTATTAGCATTATACTACTGATATTAGCATTACTAAGGGAACTCTTTTAAGGGAACTCTTTTAAATATATTCTATTGTAAGATTTGGGACAGAAACACTAAATCTTTGTTCCTGACCCTAAGTTTCTATTGTAAAACAAACTACTTTACAGAAAAGAGTTTAGAAAACAAATTGCTGTGTTATTTGCTGAAAAAATGTTAAAATAATTCTTCATCTTAACATGTAGTTAAGATCGCATTATTAAACTTGCAAACACAATTTCTTTTGCTGTTGTTATTAGTGCCGTGGAGTCAGTTCTGAATCAGTGATCCTGTACAGGTTTTCTGAGAAGTGACTGGTGCATTTACACCACCAACATGCAATTAATAGTTCAGTGCTTATCCTATAGTACAACAATGTTTTGTGGTTGTTAAGTACTGTCAAGGCTCATAGCAACCGTGTATAGGGTTTCTAAGGAGCAGCTGGTGAATTTGAACTGCCAACCATGGTTCAAAGGAA